TTTTTTTTTTGGGGGGGGGGGGGGAAGTCATTTTGGAAGGGGGTGTTGAAAATAATTTTTTGTAACCCAAGAGACCAGTAATTGGGGGGAGGGGCATGTAATTATTACAGTTCTCACGGATTTGTTATCCCTTTCATTTCTTTACTCAGACTAAAAATTTAAATGCAAAGTGTGGTAATGGTCACATGAGGAATAAGTCTCTATGACCTAGCTAGGTTTAAACTCAACTTTGTTTCCGTTCTCCCTCTCCAGTTAACATTCCAGCTTCATACGCTACCTTAACCAACTCAATAAATTTATACACTAATTTTTTTGAACTTTAATCAAGATTCACTACAACTATAGAAAAAGCCTCTCCTTTGTTTTGCTGGCTAAGGAAAAAAATCTATTTAAGACTAGACCTTCGTAATCAAAGTAAAGAATTAAATTAAGTTTTAAATAATAGTTTGTGTTTTTTGGAGATTTCTAAATTCTACATTTTAACAGTGCAAACAGCACAGCTATAAGATCAGAAGAGATGTCAAGAGTTAGCACCTCTTATACCCTGTGCTCATATTTTAAGCTAAATAGAGAAGTTTTTTCCTACAGCTCAGGGTTTGCAAGAGAATTTTTAGAGAAAGCATTTTTACTGCATTTGTAGTCTTCAATACTACTGAAATAGCAGCATGCTCAAAGATACCTTACATAATCAGACGAGTTTTCTAAATGAAAACAATCCATATGTCCACTTTTAAAATACATGCTGTTATGTTTGGTATTTAAAGACTACCGGAAGGAAAAATTTATATATATAAAATCAAAATACAGAAACAGAACAAAAAGTTAAGCAATACTAAGGGGGGGGGGGGGGGGGAGTGTTCTCATGCCACTGAGTACTCAAAATGCTTGATTCCCAGTCAGAGAGGTACTGTGGTTAGAGTTCCCACTTGGCTTTAGTGACTAGTGTCTTTATGGGAAAAATTGATTAATGATTCATGAATTTGTTTTCCCACAAAGCAATTTTATTACTTCTATCTATCACCACCTCACGGAAGGGTGTATGGGAGGAGGGGTGGGAGGCTGTATTAGTACCCAATTACCATCTGCTGCTATGGCTACAAATTCTTAACTATGAAACATGTGAAGTATTTTCAAACTTGAACACTACACAGGACTTCTTTTACTAGCCAAGTGACATTTTAAAGAAGAAAAACTGTTTTGTTTAAGTGCACAACACTGTCTCTACATCGGGACAGAGGATGTCAGTTTCTGCTATAATGCATCACCATGTTCTAGGTTTTAAAACTAAAGAACAAGTCCCTACCTCTTTGTACTAGTGGTAAGGTGTATTTACATCTGTCATAATTCTAGCTTTAGGTCAATAGTATCCAGCCTGCCCGTATGTGACCGATGTAGGCCAAGAATTAGCCAACAATAACATTACAACAATTGTGTATATGCTTATAATTGAACAGTGCTGCTACAGTGAAACTGGAGCTTTAAGATGTTACAGTTGGCCTTTGTTCTCTTCCCTCCCTATTTTCTATTTCACAGAAAGAGCTGGATTTGTTTAAACTGATTTTACACAGTCAGTACAATCCACATCAAAGGCTAAATCTTTACATATTAGTGTAGTAGATTATGGAATTATACATGGGATGTACATTGTACGTATTAAGTCCCCAGAACGCTCAAATATTTGATAAAAAGACTATGTAAAGTGGCTTTAAAAAAAAAAAAAGACTTTCTTCCTTCAAGATAGGTGGAGGGTTTAAAGATCATATGCAGTGGTAATGTTAGGTCGGAACAATTTACTGTCATATGGAAGTTTAATGAAAGACTTTTCTTTCAGCTAGGTTAACATTTGTCTTATGAGACTGATAAATGTAGTTCCTTTACAAGCAAGTTTTCCACAGCAACAAAATCCCACTTTGATATTTCTACTACAGCAGCTACCAGTTTTCACTTCAGTATTTTTAGAGTGTACAGAGTAAAGCATTGGAACTGTCCAACATAATAGTTTGTACATTCTCTTCTTCCTCTGAAGAGTTTTAAAAGGGATTTTAGACCTTGATGGCGAGAATCCCAAAACAAGAGTAAAATGAATTTATTTTATTGCAAACAAACGTCTAAAGTTAAATTTCTCCACCTACTTTTTTAAAGAGAAAAAGGAATCAGCAGGCTAAGGAGATACACCCATTTGAGAATTGACATGATTAAAAATTAGATATAAAATGGGTGACTCACAGTTTCATTAGCTTACAAAATGGTGGAGTAACTACTACAAGCACACTAGGTATACAGTATTTTGGGGGAAAAGGGGTTATACAGACACACAGCTAACTTCATATAGATCCCATTAGACAACTGGATTTACAACAAGTTTTGTTTAATAAGAAATGGGCAAAGCCAGCTTCTTTTCAGAATCAAAATGCAGAACAAATGGAAAAGAATTCATGGTGTTGTACCTTCACAAGTTTGAGCCTTCACAATTAATGCAACCAAGTTTTACACTTTAAGAGCTCTTCTACATGCACTCCACCTTCACTATTTAGCTCCAGGTTTCCTCTTTGCCCCAAGTTTTGCTGAACTCCAATGTTATAAAACCTTTCTAGTTATTGCCAGAAACTTTTGCTTTCCCAATCCCTCCACCCAGAAACTGCATAGAGAGGATGGAGTGTAATATGAGCATTACATAGTCTCATGATATTCATGAGGGCCACTATGAGCCTCTACATGAATCTGGTTGCTAACATTTCTATTCAATTGTGACAATGACTCACGACTGTTTCCTAGAAATTGGGGGAGGGAGGAAAAAGGAGAAAATTCTTTAATAAAAAGACACCAGGTACAAAGCAACGTTTTACTTTTGTTGTGGTAAAAAAAAAAAGTCACATTTTACAGATAAAATGTAGAACCCTGAAATACTGACACATTCTCTTATCGTGCACAATGCTGAGGTTCTCTTACGAATCACTTTAAAACTGCAATTAAAAATGTACAAAAAAGAAAGAAAAAAAATCAACCCACAAAGCTTCTAAAAAGGAACCCGCAGGCACTTCCTCTTGTGGAATGTTTAAAAAGTTAGCCTACTAAAGAAAAACAGTCGACTTCTTGTGAAGGTTTTGGAGAAATATGTATCAGTTCGTTTATTTGGGTATTCAATAATATCCTTGGTGATAATGCTGACTCCATGGCTTCTGACCCCAGAATTGCTGCAATAGATGGATAAATAATTAATTTTGAACCATAACCAGACATTACTCACAGCTCACTTTCCTGCATTAAATACATTTACAAGGAAATTAGATGACAGCTAACTAACCAGGGAAGAACAACTTTCCAGTTGGCAGTAATATCTGAACTGTGTAAAGAAACAGGAGGCGTCATATT